AACTAAAGCATCTAATTTAGCGGTCACTTCTCCGGAATTAGTTTCGGGTAAATTAAGGTTGCCGGCAATATTGTTCCCAGCTAATAAAGCATTTAAGCGGGTGATATCATTTTGGATAGCGGTTCCGTCAATCGCTCAAGCCGCTCGGGTGCTATCATCCGTGTCTCGAGCCGTGTGTAAAGCGGTTAAAGCGGTTACTTTGGCACGTTTGTTATCATCCGTAGCTTCAACTTGCGTGATAACAGTATGATAATTATTTAAAACGGTTTGGATCGGAGTTAAGCGATTAATATATCCTTCCGTCGTGGCTTGTTCAATCCCTCAAGCTGCATGAGTATTTGCATCCGTTGCTTCCCCATCCCGTAAAGCGGTTAAAGCGGTTACTTTGGCGGTAATTTCATCTCTGGTAGTTTCACCTCGACCATAAGCAGCCGTATAAAGAGCTAATTGCGTTTGTAAAGCGGTTAGTCGGGTAATGGCAGTGGTTACATCATTGGCGTTAGTGCCGTCATTTCAAGCCGTTTGTTCTTCCGCACTTCCAGTATTTCCATGGTTATCACGTAAGTCAACTAAAGCATCTAATTTAGCGGTCACTTCTCCGGAATTAGTTTCGGGTAAATTAAGGTTGCCGGCAATATTGTTCCTTATTGTTCGAACATCTATTTCATCATCAATATCATCAATCCTCGAAAAAATTGCATTAGCAACCGCAGCTAATGCATCTCTTTGTGGAGCTCTGTCAGGATTTCGAATAGGTTCTGCAATCGTCCTAATTCTTGTTGCTTCTCAATTTCCTAATTTCGTCCTTATTTCTACCGCTTTTTCTGCTCTACTCTCAATTTCCCCATTAATCATATTAATTACAAAAACAAGGTTTGCTTCTCAATTAAATCTTGTTGGAACAAAAGTACCACTTACAGCATCTACGATCATTTTACGTGTAATTCTAATGTTTTTATCTTACCATTGTTATAATATTATATTAATTTTATTGTTATCATCACTCTGGTTTAGCAAAAAAAAAAAAAAAAAAAAAAACAGTTTTAATTTGACTGATGAATTCTATTTTCCGAAAATTTTTTTACTAATATTTGAGTTGAGTTTTTTAATTCTGGTTTTTTAGGAGATAATTAACCAATATTTTCTTTTCGATATGAACTACCCCTACTTAACTCTTTCGAGTTTGAAGTAGAAGTTTCTGATGGTTTAACTGGCAAAGACCAGCCATGTTCCCATTTTTCGAAGTTATACTCTTTCTAAGAGCAGAGGGGATAGTCGCCCATTGCCCGTTCCTAACTCCGTTATACCTTGGTATAATATATTCTTGCTAGCATTAATATCCCTATCTTTTTCATAATTACAACTAGAACTAACACAGACGAATCATCTTTCTTTCCCTAATTCTTTGTTAATCGTTTTACACTTGAAACACTTTTTACTTGTATTGCTTGGATTAACAAAATGAACCCATCTACCAGCTTCCTTCGCTTTGTAAAGGGTAAAGTTTGCTATTTGAGACAAACTTACCTCTTGCAATCCCTTAACCGAGTATTTGCTAATCTTTCGCTTTTTACCTTGCTTTTTTTTCTCTTTCATCTTTTTTAACTTTAAATCTTCATAAACAATTAAATCATTTTTGTCAACTATTCTCCGAGTAATTTTATGGTTTCTATCCTTTACTCGGTTAGTTAAACGCTGACATTCCTTAACTAACTTTTTCTTTGCTTTGTTGTGGTTTTTACTTAATTTTGTTTTATCTCCTTTAAATCTCGGATGCTGTTTTCTACTCAAAGACCTTTTTAATTCAGTTATTCATTCCTCCTCTTTTTGCCAATATTTAGGATTAACAACTTTTCAACCCTCATTATTAGCAACTATATTAATGCTTCCTCTATCTCCTCCCATGGCTCTCTTTACTTCGCTCAATGGCATTTTTGGTTTTTCTTGGATTTCACAGACGAAAGAGACTAATATTTTGTCTCAACTTTTCCAAGAGATAGTTAAAGTTTTAATTTCTCCTTGAAGTGGTTGGTTAAGTTTTAAAGGGATTTTTAATTCTCTTTTAGATTGCTTAACTTTTGCTCCTTGCTTAATGAATAAATAATCGTTTCCGATTTTGAAAATCCAAATCTTATTCACAACTGGTTGGGGATAACTGAAACTGCTATATCAACCTTTATCAGTTTTTATTCTCGGATATTTTGCTTTTGAGTTAATTCTCTTATGTTCTTGATATTTTTTTCAAGCATTAGGAACTTTCACTCTTACTATTTCTTGGAGAATTTGAGATTGAATTCTTTTCAATTTAGGATTATCATCCTTGAACTTTTTTAATTGTCTTTTTTGTTCATATTTACTAGGTTGCTTCTGCTTCTTTTTATCACACTTTTTTCTTTTTCCTACAAAGTGATTATAAACTTTTTGACAACCACGAGAAATTACTTCTAGTATTTTCCTTGTTGTTTGATTAGGATAGATTTGTCCTTGAATGGTTTTTCTCATTTTGTCCTTGATTTTGGATGTATTTTTTAATTACCTCGATTGAAACTCCTCCTGTTGTTAGCAAGCAAAAACTTCAACTTCAAAAATACTCCTTTCATAATTTTTCCTTAATGATTGGATATTCTTTCTTTATCAGACAAGAGGAGGCAGTTTTGTAGGCATTGATGAATTTGCTTAATTCACTATTGGGATGGGCTTTGAATAAGCAGTGAATATGGTCGACATCATGTTTTCACTCTTGGAGAGAAATACGATAATTAGGAGCAATCTTTTCGAATATTTCCTTTAATCGATTTGATCTAACATCATCAATGACCTTTCTCCGATATTTAACTACTAATACCAAATGATATCAGAGTAAAAAAACCGAGTGATTATTGCTGTCTAACTCCATATAATATATTTTAAGACCAAATGAAAGTTATAGGCAATTCATCCCCGACCTGATTTCGAGGTCGGGGACTTCTTGCTGGTTTAGGCTAAAATAGTGGTCAAAATATTAACCACATCCCGATGGTGTTTTTTTGACAACAGAGCAAAAATCCGAATGGTTTCAATGATAAAGTGAAAATTATTTTTATCTATTTGAATATTAAGAACTCTAATTGTTTTATTGGTTATTTTTACAATTTACTTAACTTCAAATACTTTTGGACTATCAACTGAACTCTCCTTTTCACTAAATTTTCTAAATGTAAAACAAAAACTAATTTCTCTTCAATTTCATTCATTTCTTTTTCGGTTAATTCTCCTAATTTTTTTTCAAATCGTTCAATAGTAATTGCCCTAACTTGTTCA